GTCAAAGGTCCATGCCCTTAAAAAAAATAGAAGTTAGGGCAAATTGTTTTGAAAACAAAAAGAAAAAAAAAGAAAAGAAAAGAAAAGAAAAGAAAAGAAAAAACAACAGAAAGAAAAAAAAATAGTTAGGTCAGATGTTTGAACTACGTTCGACCTGATTCCTTAAAAGAAAGGATACGTAGGCAGCCTCACGGTTCGGTCCAACCAAATAAGAATTTAGAAGAAAAAGAAAAAAAATAGAAAAATAGAAAAATCCAAAAATCTCCAGCATCCGAAACTGGGGCAGAGATTTTATTTCACTTTTGAAAGAGTCGATTCCAAGAGTTGTAAGTCCACAACCCCCTTTACTTTGAGTTTATTTTGAGCCTTCATGACGTCCTTTTTTTTCAACCCTATCCAAAATCCTTCCAAATAAAGACCTCCCGATATGCCTTCAAGAATGCCAAGAGAAGCATGCAATGAGCAACGGTTGTCACATGACGTAGAACACTGTCGAGTTTCTCACAAAAAGGGAAAGAAAAAGAAAAGAAAAATGAGAGAGTCTTATTAGTGAAAACCCTCACGGGCACTGTAAGACGACGGTAAGCAGAGATGAATAAATGAGAGATACTTGTTGGTGAAAACCCCTCGGGGCACCACTAGTCGAAAGTGAGTCGCGAAGCTGATGCAAAGAATTGGCACGAACAAGCCCAACTTCAAAGCTCATAAGAATAGCAAAAGGGAAGATTGAATTAGCTTGATAGATCAACCACTAAGTCCAAAATGCATGTCATGACCAGTAAGGCTAGTTATTGAAAAAAGTAAAAAAAAACGAAAAACAAATCTTCCTTCTATCCTTCCGACAGGGGCATTTTTTTTTAATACTTATTTCTTTGCATCATTTGTGTCCTTCACTCTGAGTCAGTCCTTGTCAAAACAAGCAAGAAAAGATTTCAAAATTTGCTACCAGCTTTTCAGTTGCACAAAGTGAATTTGGCCAGCACACTCAGTTGTTACTGTCAACATGCCTTGAGGATTCATGCAAAGGCTCCCCCTAAAGACTCTTGTCAGCCTACTTGGCGCAAGCAAAGATAACTGGTGATTCTCTCTAACAGACAAATTGCTCAAAAAGTAGGAAGTCATTTAAGATATCAGAAAAGGTCACCTAAGCAAAGATCTCCAGTTGGGATAAGGTCGTTTGAGTTGCAAATACAAATGGTACTGGGTGTGAAACAATCAGAGTTGGTGCAGAACAAAAGTCTCTTGAGACCGACTCAGGCCGGTTGAGCAAAATCCAAGCTGCTCAAGACTCAAGGCCACAAACCGACCATCACTTTCAAAACTGACAAAACTTTCTTTGTTTGAAACAGGAACAAAGCAGTGCAAGGAAAGAGGTTCCAAAAAAATGGAAATGAAAAGAAAAAACAAAGAGAAAAAAAAGCAAAAAAGCAAAAAAAAAGACAAAGAAAAGAAGAGAAGAGCCGACGAAGGGAAGTTTCTCAAATTTTTGCCTTTATTTGTCTTGTTAATATGTATAAAGTCATGCCATTGCTCTTTACATTTTCCTCCTAGGGTGATATGTCCTAGTCTGATGGATTTTCCTTCCAACAGATGTCTTCGTCTGACAAATTTTTCTCCTAAGATAGAGGACCTAATCTGATGAACTTTCTCCTAGGATCAAAATCTTAGTCTGATGAATATTTCTCCTAAGATACCAAAAATAAGTGACTTAGTCTGATGAACTTTCTCCTAGGATTAAAATCTTAGTCTGATGAATTTTTCTCCTAAGATAAAAAAAGAGACATAGTCTGATGAATTTTCTCCTAGGATCAAAATCTTATTCTGATGAACTTTCTCCTAGGATTAAAATCTTAGTCTGATGAATTTTTCTCCTAAGATAAAAAAAGAGACATAGTCTGATGAATTTTCTCCTAGGATCAAAATCTTATTCTGATGAACTTTCTCCTAGAATCAAAATCTTAGTCTGGTGAATTTTTCTCCTAAGATAAGAAAAGAGACCTAGTTTGATGAACTTTCTCCTAGGATCAAAATCTTAGTCTGATGAATTTCTCTCCTAAGATAGAAGACCTAGTCTGATGAATTTTCTCCTAGGATCAAAATCTTAGTCTGATGAATTTTTCTCCTAAGATAGAAGATCTAGTCTGATGAACTTTCTCCTAGGATCAAAATCTTAGTCTGATGAATTTTTATCCTATGATAACAAAAAAAGGACCTAGTCTGATGAACTTTCTCCTAGGATCACAATTTTAGTCTGATGAATTTTTCTCCTAAGATAGAGGACCTAGTCTGATGAATTTTCTCCTAGGATCAAAATCTTAGTCGGATGAATCTTTCTCCTAGAATAATAAATTAGAAGACCTAGTCTGATGACTTTTCTCCTAGGAAAAAAATCTTAGTCTGATGAATTTTTCTCCTAAGATAGAAGACCTAGTCTGATGAACTTTGACCTAGGATCAAAATCTTAGTTTGATGAATTTTTCTCCTAAGATAAGAAAAGAGAACTAGTCTGATGAACTTTCTCCTAGGATCAAAATATTAGTCTGATGAATTTTTCTCCTAAGATAGAAGACCTAGTCTTATGAACTTTCTCCTAGGATCAAAATATTAGTCTGATGAATTTTTCTCCTAAGATAGAAGACCTAGTCTTATGAACTTTCTCCTAGGATCAAAATATTAGTCTGATGAATTTTTATCCTAAGATAAGAAAAGAGACCTAGTCTGATGAACTTTCTCCTACGATAAAAATCTTAGTCTGATGAATCTTTCTCCTAAGATAGAAGACCTAGTCTAATGATCTTCTCCTAGGATCAAAATCTTAGTCTGATGAATTTTTCTCCTAAGATAGAAGACTTAGTCTGATGAACTTTCTCCTACGATCAAAATCTTAGTCTGATGAATTTTTATCCTAAGATAGAAGACCTAGTCTGATGAATTTTCTCCTAGGATCAAAAACATAGTCTGATGAATTTTTCTCCTAAGATAAGAAAAGAGACCTAGTCTGATGAACTTTCTCCTAGGATCAAAATCTTAGTCTGATAAATCTTTCTCCTAAGATAAGAAAACCTAGTCTGATGAATTTTTGCCTAGGATAATAATTTTTTTTTAAAAAAAGAGGATGTCTCGATTAAAAAAAAGGTGTTGGGGTAATTTGTTTAAAAGAATGATTTTATCCAAAAAAATGAAAAAATGATGATTTTTGTAACAAAAAGAAAAGAAAAAGGAAAAAAAATCCTTCTTGGTTCATTTTAGCATAGGTACACAAGTCAGTAGTCCCATTTTTCCAACATAGGGTCTCCACTTCCTAGTTGATTTTATTTTAGACATAGAGTCTCTACTCCCTAGTCTTCTTTTTCAATATAGGGTCTCACTCCCTAGTTGATGCCAGCATAACCTAGTAATATTTTCCAACATAGGGTCTCCACTCCATACTTGATTTTATTTTAGGCATAGGGTTTCCACTCCTTAGTCTGTTTTTGTAACATAGGATCTCCACTCCGTAGTTGATTTTATTTTAGGCATAGGGTCTCCACTCCCTAGTCTTATTTTTCCAACATAGGGTCTCCACTCCCTAGTTGATTTTATTTTTAGACATAGGGTCTTCACTCCCTAGTCTTTGTTTTCTTAGGGTATACCAACCCCGACTTTTAATTGCTTTCAATAAAAAAAAGTTTAGATTTTTGTTACAATAACTCACGAAATTTTCCTAGTGAAAACTGGGGCAGAAAATTTCATTCTTTTGTTTGCTTTGGTACCTGAACAGGTTTTTACCACGAGACACAAGGTTTGAGATGACCTAAACAATGAGTCTTAATCCAAAAAAGAAAAAAAAGAAGAAAAAGAAAAGAAGTGAACTCAAAGTGTAGAAGCGGAGAAAAGATGTAGACTGCTCAAAACGTGTTTGAAGTCACAAGCTTTGCACGTCCCGCCTTGATCCAAGAAGTTGGAAAAGGAGAGAACCAGTACCTGCAGCTAACAAGAATCAAGATTCAGATCTGAGTCCACATGAAGAACTAACCAAAACTCAAGACCAAGCTTCAGAAGACTCATAGATAGGAATCTTGTACCTCGTAGTTAATAGGCTTAGCTAGTTTAGCGTTTGTTTTTCATTTTAATGTAATAAGGAGATCAGCAAGTAGAAATAGCAGAAACATCAGTGAAATCACAGCTTCTCGTAGTCCCAGCTACCAAAACTTCCAGAACAACACTGACTTGATTCCTCTATAGCCAAGGATATGTAGGCAACCTCCGAAGCAAGGTTCGGTCAGGCTCTTTCCAAAAGATGCTTCTCATGGAGTTTCCAAACGGGCAAAAATCGCTCGTAGTTGCTCATTTTATCTTTGCCCGAAAACCCTTCGTGTTTCCGAGCAAAGAGGGGCAGCTGTGAGCACGTGATTTTTGCCCTATATGAATAACTCCTACAGAATCCCAAGGAAATAGATTTTTTCTAATTATTTACCATTTTATAGGATTTTGTAGGATTTTTATTAATTGTTTGCATTTTGTGCACGTTTAATTTTTATTTTTATCATAAAAAAAATACCAAAAATATCATGCATTGCATTTAGGATTTGTTTAGATTGTTAGAATTAATCAGTAATTATTTCCTTTATAAAAAATTAAAAATCACAAAAAATAGCTCATTTTTACATTTTTGTCTTTTAATTTTGGTTTATTGATTTTCCACTTTTAATATAGATTTAAGTGAGGTTTATAATTTTTATATAGTTAATTAGTTTAATTTCATATTTTTTGATAATCTAGAATTTTAATTTTAGGATTTTTAATTAAAGAAGAAGAAAAAGAAAACAAAGGAAAAGGAATGAAAGAGGGGTAATATGAATTAGGCTAATTCTTGTACCTAAATCAGGCCCAAATCCCACCCTAAAAACTACCCAAACCCGTCCAAACCGCCCAGGCCCAAAACTCGACTCGACGCGCCTGACCCAACCTCCCCCTTTTAAATTAAAAACCTAGCTAAGACCAAGAGGAAGGATCGGTTCCTTAGACCTCTTGAGAAGCGAAACGACGCTCCCTTCTTCTCCTTCTATAGAAATCCAAGCAAAATCATACCTTTCCTCTCCAAAATTGCACACAAATAGACCCCTCTTCTTTTTTTCTTCATTTTCATTTTTTCGAAAACACACACAGAGAAAATCAGAACCCCGATGTTTCTGCGCAATTTGCCAGCGCCAAAACAAAAAAAAAGTAATAACTCTTTCTTCTCCAACCATCTTGCTCATGAGATCAGATCGGAAGTTGAGAGTAAATAACTGAAAACCAAAATATTCAGCAATAAAATTGAATTCGTGCTCTGCAAATACTGCTCTATTTTTTTTTTTGTTGATTTTCGTTTTCAAATCAGAGTGTTGCTTTGGCGGCCACTTCAAATATACTGGGAATGTCGAAATATTTGAGTTGGTTTTTTTTCAAGGCTAAATCGAGAGCTAAGAAGGCTGCTCGTTGTTGCGGGTTGCAACTTTGCTGGACTCCTAGTTAATTTCTTTGCTTTTCCAAGTTAGCCTTCATTCAGGAGTTGGGTACTTCTGCTCTCTTCAAGTGAGGTACATCTTTTGAATCTTGAAATTACATTTGGATATATAAATATACTTGATCTGGTTTGATGTCTTACTTCAACAAGATTTATGATTTGCTTAAACTGCACCACCATCTCCATTGGACAAATATATTATTTATGGCATCATTATATTGTGTGCAAATCAACAATGAGGTGTTATACTTGCATAAATAAATTTTTCCCATCAATGAATCAGTTAGTTGATTAACAACTGGAAGCAATTAACAAACAGACTTGGTTGAATTCACGATACTGAGATGTTAATTGAGCGTTTGTAAGGAAGAAACAATAAAAAAATTCCTAGTTTCATGATTATTTCTTTCAGTTGTTGTTTATAATAATATTTACCATGGATTAACTTGCTAAAAAAAAATTTTAAAAGTTTGAAGCTCAAAACTATTGAAAACAGTAAGAGGGCGTATGTATTTTAGCAGGATATATATGATATTCGTTAGCTGCTATTTCTTGCTGACTCTATATGGTATTGAAGTTTAGCCATGAATGTTTTTCCCTTTGTTTCGTTACTTTAGGTAGTTATTTGGCATTTTGCTTCCTCATGTTTAGATTGTTGTTATCCAAATGTTTGTCATAATAGGTGCTTATACATATTCTGGATGATTTTAATTTGTCTTAATAGTTGCTTATACATGTTCTGAAAGATTATAGTAATTTTAATTCCTCAAAATACTCTTTTCATCAAATAAGTTCAATCAATAACCCATGGTCCTCACTTAATTAATTTTAATCCTTTAGAAATCGAGGTGTGCCATTTAGTTGAATTTTCCATGGCCCTCGCAAACTTGAAAGTGCGTAGTAGCTTTAGGCGCATAATTTAAATTACCTTAAACTCGGGTGTGCATTTCATGTGACCCAAATCGAAATCTCAACAACGTTAAATAAAATGTGTCAAGGACTGCGGGTGCATTTCATGTGGCGTGGCTCAAGACATGTTTTAGATAACGTTGAATCTTCCTAAAACTAATTAAAAGCGGATAATAAGTTAAAAATATACCATAGGCTAAAACATGTAATAAATCAGATAATAGACCAATTATAATAGTTTAAGCGACCGTGCTAGAACCACGAAATCCAAGGGTGCCTAACACCTTCCCTCGGGTTAGCAGAATTCCTTATTCAGAATTTCTAGTTCGCAGACTTTAAAAGGAAAGTTGAATTTTCCTCGATTTGGGATTTAAAAATAAACCGGTGACTTGGGATACCATAAAACAAACCATCCCAAGTGGAGACTCTGAATAAAATAAATAAATAATCTCATTTTGAATAATGTCACTTAAAGTGGAAAAACTCCCTTCTACTACCTTCAGGTAGTGTAAAAAGGAGGTGTGACACGTGGTATTAATGATGCAGGGTAGGGTATGTGGACCCAATGTTGATGGGCTTTGGGGGTTGATTCTAGAGGAGGCCCATAGTTCGCGATATTCTATTTATCTGGGTGTCGCGAAGATGTACCAGGATTTGAGATAGCACTATTGGTGGAGGCGGATGAAGAAGGATATAGTTGGGTTTGTAGCTCGGTGCCTCAATTGTCAGCAGGTAAAGTATGAGCACCAGAGATCGGGTGGGTTGCTTCAGTAGATAGAGATTCCGGAGTGGAATTGGGAGCGGATCACCGTGGACTTCGTAGTTGGACTTCCACGGACTTTGAGGAAGTTCGATGCCATTTAGGTGATTGTGGATAGGCTGACCAAGTCCGCGCACTTCATTCCTTTGTGTACTACCTATTCTTCGGAGCGGCTGATAGAGATTTATATCCGGGAGTATGTTCGTCTGCATGGTATTCCAGTTTCCATCATTTTAGGCTTAGGTAAACAGTTCACATCCTGGTTCTGGAGGGCCGTACAACATGAGTTGGGTACTCGAGTGGAGTTGAGCACATCATTTCACCCTTAGACGGACGGACAATCCGAGCGCACTATTCAGATCCTTGAGGATATGCTCCGTTCATGTGTGATGGAGTTTGGAGGTTCTTGGGATCAGTTCCTGCCAATAGCAGAGTTTGCCTACAACAACAGTTATTAGTTTAGCATTCAGATGGCATCGTATGAGGCTTTGTATGGTAGGCGGTATAGTTCCCCGATGGGTTGGTTCGAGCCGGGCTAGGCTAGATTGTTGGGCACATACTTGGTTTAGGATGCCTTGGAGAAGGTTAAGGGCTAGATTGTTGGGCACATACTTGGTTTAGGATGCCTTGGAGAAGGTTAAGGTGATTCAGGATAGGCTCCATACAAACCAGTCCAAACAGAAGAGCTATGCGAATCGAAAGGTTCGTGATGTTTCCTATATGGTTGGAGAGCGGGTCTTGCTTCGGGTTTTGCCTATGAAGGGCATTATGAGATTTGGGAAGAACGGTAAATTAAGTCCGAGGTTTATTGGTCCTTTTGAGATATTGCGACGTGTTGGGGAGGTTGCTTATGAGGTTGCCTTACCTCCCAGCTTGGCAAAAGTTCATCTGGTATTTCATGTTTTGATGCTCCGGAAGTGTCACGGTGATCCGTCACACGTGTTGGATTTTAGTTCAGTCTAGTTGGACAAAGATCTATCTTATGTTGAGGAGCCAGTGGTGATATTGGACAGGCAGGTTCGAAAGCTGTGGTCAAAGAACATTGCATCAGTGAAGGTTCAGTGGCGGGTTCAGTTGGTCGAAGAGGCGACTTGGGAGGCCGAGCAGGATATGCCCAGTCGTTACCCTCATCTTTTCACTACTTTAGGTATGTCTCTATGCTCGTTCAAGGACGAACAAATATTTTAAGAGGGGGAGGATGTAATGACCTGGCCGGTCATTTTAAGAATTAATGCACTGATACCCTATTAACTGCTTTCCCCGTGTTTGTTTCTGCTATTATGATTTGCCGGGATGATTCACTGTGATTTTCAGAGTGTTTTAGGACACTTAGTCCCTCAATGAAAGCTTAATCTTTAGAATTTGCTCTGTAGTCGGAGCAGTGTGAAGACAACATCGAAATGGAATTTCCGTCGATTCCGTTAGCTCTATTGGGTGATTTCGGGCTTAGGGGCGTGTTTAGATTGTGTTTTGGAGGTTCGTAGCTTAGTTAGGCTTGAAATGCCGAAAGTTGAATTTTTAAAGTGTCCGGATCAATAATGAAATTTTGATATCGGGGTCGGAATCCAATTCCAAAATTTGGAATAGCTCCGTAGTGTTGAATGTGACTTGTGTACAAAGTTTGGAGTCAATCGGACTTGGTTTGGTTGGTTTGGGAATTAGTTGTAGGATTCTTGAAATTTCAAGTTCCTTAGGTTTGGATTGGAGGGTGATTCGTGGTTTTAGCATTGTTTGATGTGATTTGGGGGTTGGACTAAATTCATATGATGTTTTAGGATTGTTTGGTATGTTTAGTTGAGGTCCCAAGGGCCTCGGGTGTGTTTCAGATGCTCAACGGACCATTAATGGACTTGGAGAAGGATCAGATTTTTCTTGTTTTTCTGTTGCAGACTTCCCTTCATCGCGATCGCGTGAGGAGGCTCGCGATTGCGAAGGCTTAGATGAGGCAGAGTGAATTTTGTTCTACGTGATCGCAGGAAAAGGAATGTGAATGTGTAGTATTGGTAGAAGGTTGAATCACGAACGTGTGGGCTATGCCATGTTCGCGAAGAGGAAGAAGTGAGGCAGCTGTGGAGTGGGAGTTTCTCTTCGCGATCGCGTGAGGTCAACCACGATTGCGTAGACCTAAGCAGTGCAAGCATCGCATTTGCATGGAGAGTATAGCGTTCGCGTAGGGTAAATCTGGGAGCCAGCAAAGTTGCTCTTCGCAATCGTGTGGGGGCTTCCGCGATCGCGATTAAGGTCGCGTCTGGGCAGAACATAAAGTTCAAAATCGAGGGTTTTGAGTTCATATCACAAAATTGAATTGGGAGCTCGGTAGGAGACGAATTTTGGTAAGATTTTCGAAGGAAGTTTGCGGGTAATGATTCTTATCTCCTTTTTGCTTATAACCCATTAATCTAAACATGAATTCATCTTCTAATTTCGGATTTTGGGTGAGAAATTGGGGGAAAATTTGGAAAAGTTCTTAGGCCTAATTTTGGGGTTTTGATCAAGATTTTGGTATTGGATTGGAGTAATTTTTGTATGGTTAAACTCGTGAGTGAATGGGGGTTCATAATCCGTAACTTTTACCCGATTTCGAGGCGTGGGCCCAAGGAGGATTTTTGGGTGTTTTTCTATTTTCTTGCCTTAGCTTCGATTTCATTAGATAATGTTTACCGTGAAAATGGTAATAACAATTAAATTTGTTGATGAGACTCTAAAAATATGTGATCTATTTTTATGCTAGTTGTTTAGAGCAGTGGATGCTAGATATGTGAAGATAAAGGTGAAATGCGAGCTAAAACAACATTACAATCAAACCAATGAGTTAGCTATCCGGGCCTCAAGCTAACCGATGAAGGGCCTTGAGGTCTATGCCTGGGCTCGGGCTTGAGCGGTCGGGGGTAACCGGGAAGGGACTAATAGTTAGAATATAATTAAAGGAGGCTTTTTACGCCGATATCAAGCAATAAATAAAGAATGGGTACGAAAGCAATAAATGAAAGTGGTAGTCTCGAGCGGGTGAGTTAGAGAGAAAAGAGAGAGAGTTGTTATTTATATTGTATAGAATAGTTAGAGCAACAGCAGCCCTTTACAAGGTGGTGAGGATCCCCTTTATATAGGAGGAGAAATACAACATAGTACAGAATGCATTAATTGTAAAGATACGGATATGGACGGCTAGACATGATACCATACTCTGCCAGTGTTACCTGCTCGCCTTAGGAATTCCCCATCCTCGGCATTGTCATTAGGTCAAGCGTAAATGAACATCGAGGGAGAGAGCTCGACTGCAACCCCACAGCCTCGAGATCTCGATATAACTTCTCGAAGCCCCTTAATGATGAGAAATTGGACCCTCCGATTTTACTGTATACAGATAAATTAGTTGTTTGTAGTTGTATTTACGTTATGATAATAAATTTGATTAGATTTGGGCCACCCGGAGTTGGATACTAGTGGCAAGAGCGTGGTTTCGGATTGATTTTGAGCCGGTTTGAGGTAAGTGACTTGCTTAACCTTGTGTGATGGAAACTCCCCTTAGGATTTTGGTGTTGTTTGTTATATGAGTGTCGTGTACGTGAGGTGACGAGTGCGTACACATGCAAATTTTTGAAAACCCCTGTTTTATTAAGTAAATATTTGTGTTTTTTCTTGTAATTGAGCATTTCTTGTACTTGAAGCCTCTTGTTTAGGTTAGGAAAAGCATGCCTATGTGTTCTAGTTGTTTTACCGTCTTTAACTGCTTACTTGTATCATGTACATCATGTTTAGTGTAGAATTCCTATTTATTTACGAATAGTACTGTAGTTTCCTTCTTGCTACTGTTGTTTGTTTACTTTGGGACTACGGGACGATATCACGGGAGATCCCCCTGCATGTTTACTTTGGGACTACGGATCAGTATTCCGAGAGATCCCCCTGCACATTTATATTTGAGACTACGGGACGACACCCAGGAGATTCACCTGTACTGGATATTTACTTTGGGACAACAGATTGGTATTCTGGGAGATCCTCTGCACATTAACGTTTGGGACTACGGGACGATTTCCCGTGAGATACCCTGTTGCTATTTCTCTGTACTGAGTTACATTCTCCCTGTGATTTTATTCTCTTTCAACTGTTAGTGCTTTAATTATACTGTTACATTTTATACTGTCTTACCTCGTTTTATGTTTATAACCAGTAGGGCCCTGACCTTCCTCGTCACTACTCGACCGAGGTTAGGCTTGGCACTTACTGGGTACCTCTGTGGTGTACTCATTCCCTTTGCAGCACATGTTTTTCATGTGAATATCCAGGTTCTTTGGCCCAACCATATTATCGGTGAGGAGAGGCGACCTTCAGAGACTTTGAGGTATATCTGTCGCGCCCGCAGACCGAGGAGTCCCTCTCTATTCTCCCCTCTAGCTTTAGCTCTCCTGTATTTACTTTTGTTTTGACATTCTGGAGTTAGAACACTTTGTAGTTATTCTATAGCTTGTGATTTCATGAGATTCTAGGTTTTGGGATTGTTGTTGTTGGTCGAGAGTGTTATTATGGTATATGCAGAGCGGCATTTTAAACTTTTTTTCTTATATTTCCCCGTAAATTACTAGTTTTGTATCTTTATTTCCTTTTTTCGCAAATTGTTAGGCTTACCTAGTCATAGAGACTAGGTGCCGTCACGACAGTTCATGGAGGGAGAACTTGGGTCGTGACACCTGCATTATCACTTATCCTTGATAGAATGTACTTACAATAATAGCTACAAGTCAATTATAGGCATGCCTCCTTATGATGATATATATGGGAGAAAATGTAGAACTCCTCTTTGTTGGAAAGAGGCTGGTGAAAGGAAATTAGTGGTTCTTAAGATTGTGCAACAAACTGAAGATAGGGTAAAAATCATTAAGGATCGCTTAAAATTACTTCAAATAGACAAAAGTCTTATGCTGATCTTAAGAGGCGTGAAATTGAGTATAAAGCGGGTGATAAGGTATTTTTAAAGGTTTCTCTATGGAAGAAGAATATGAGATTTGTCAAAAAGGTAAGCTTAGTCCTCGATTTATTGGATCTTATGAAGTGCTTGAGAGAGTTGGCCCAGTTGCTTATAAACTAGATCTTCCACCTGAGTTAGACAAGATCCATAATGTCTTGCATGTTTCTATGCTTAGAAGATACCGCTCAGATCCATCGCATGTTCTTCTGATTGAATCTATTGAAATCAGTTATGATTTGATAAATAAATAAGAACCAATCCAAATCTTAGCACATGATATAAAAGAACTTAGAAAAAAGAGAATCCCCTTAGTGAAGGTCCTTTGGAGAAATCATTCTGGCAAAGACTCTACTTGGGTGCGAGAAGAGGATATACAAGTTCGATATCTACATTTATTTCGAGACTGGTATAAGGTAAATTTGTGGCCGAAATTTATTTAAGGGGGTGAGATTTGTAACGTCCCAAAGTTATGACTAATATTTGCATTCTTGATTGAGCATCATTATAATGAGGATAGATTTTACTTTGCACTTCCTAAATGTGAATTTGATTATATTTGAAAATTGCTTACTTTAGATTATGTTAATATATACAAAGTAGTTCCATGATGTTTTTGATTAATTTCTATTAAACATAATATATATATATATATATATATATATATAATGTTTTGGGCAGCAAATCTTCCATACTATTTAAAGATATTTAGTAGTTTAGGCAACCACTTTTTTTCATACTTATCCAAAGTCATATATATTACTTTTGTGACTTGATTTTCCATAACCTCCTCTCATATTTCATTCCTTCATGCCAAATAAAATTCCTTCCCCCTCTCCTTCTTATCACATGAAATACTACATGAAAACCATCAGAAATTCTCACTAAACCAACCAGCCAAACTAGTTCTAGGTGAAGCTCAGTGTGTATCTCCTTATGTGAGTTCTATGTGCGGATCAGATTGTACGCCGCCACAGATATGTTGATTGAATCAGGTTGCACGTTGTAATGGTATGATGTTGAGTACAGTTTTCTATATTCTAGTTTCTGTGTGTTTTGTTTCCCATTTTCTGAGGAAAGTTTATATTAGCTACGCGAGTTGAGTAGTTCTTTCCAGAGTTCGATTTCCTTATGTATCACGTTCAAGTTTGTGGCCTATCGGCACATTTTGGCATCATATGAGACTTTTGGTCATGTCTGGGGCGGCTTATTACCTGAGTAATTCGTACTGGGTGAGATGAGATTATTGGATCTAGGATCAGTGCGATCGGATTATATGAAGTATATTAAAGGGCAAATACCATTATTTGGTTTAGAATGAGGTAATGATTCTTGTCAGGAGTATAGACTCAACGATTTGTTGACTCAGCAGCTGGTTATGAATTTCTACACATCTCTTCTGTCATGGTGGTATTGCAAAAGTTGGAACAAGATTTATATATGTCATAAGGTGCATTGTGAGCATCAGATTCGAGAGATGTCGGTTATTATAATCAGAGAATGTTATTATGGTCCGTGAATGATGTGGTGAATGGTGAAAATTCAGCAAAGTTATGCAATCTTATATTGGTGCATTGTGTAGTGATTGATACGGTATTCGTAGGTTAGAAGCAAACCTGGCAGAGAATTCTGGATGTTGGAACTGGGCTCTAAGGCTTATTTGCCTCAATGAATGAGGATATCTTCGGATTTGGTCGAGCTAATGTGCTCAATTGAGTTGTGCTACCACAGGTAGGTGCACGAGGTGTTAAACAGTAATTTCAGACTACTCTAGCGCAAATCTCAGCACGTTCGAGGAGGAACGTATGTTTAAGTGGGAGAGAATGTAACGACCCAACCGGTCCTTTTGAGCTCTAGCGCGTCGTTCGGCAATTCGAGGCCATGAGCAGCTTCACTTAAGGTATTATGACTTGTACGCATGGTCAGAATTGAATGTCGGGAAGTTTGGAATTGATTTGGAAAGAAAATTCCCATTTCGCAAGCTTTAAGTTGAAAGAATTGAGTAAGGTTTGATTTAAAAGTAAACGACCTCAAAATCGGGATTTGAAGGTCCCAACAGGTTCGTATGATGATATTGGACTTGGATGTATGTCTGGATCGGGTTTTGGATGACCCGGGAGCGTTTCGACGCCTATTGTGGAAGTTAGCATTTTTGGAAGAATTTAATAAATGTGAGTTGAAGCGCATTTCAGTGTTATGGATGTCCATTTGAGATTCCGAGTCTAGGAATAGCTCCGTATGGTGATTCTTGTATTGGGAGCATGATAAAGTGGATTCAGAGGTCTGTAGGTCATTTTGGAGTCGTTTGGCTAAAGTTAGAAATTTGAAAGTTTTTGAGAAGTTTGACCGGAAGTGGACTTTTTGATATCGGGGTCAGATTCTAATTTTGAAAGTTGGAGTAGGTCCGTAATGTCGAATATGACCTGTGTACAAAATTTGAGGTCAATCAAACGTAATTTGATGAGTTTCAGTATCAAAAGTAGAAATTGAAGTTTCAAGTTCTTTAAGCTTGGATTGGAGAGCGATTCATGGTTTAAGCGTTGTTTGATATGATTTGAGGCATCGAGCAGTTCCATGTTATGTTATGGGACTGGTTGATGTGATTGGACGGGGTTCCGGCGTCCTTAGGTGGATCCCAGGTGGTTAACGGATTGAAAATGGAATTTGAGGAAGGGCTGAAGCAGCTGGGCTTTTGGCGTAACCACACCTGCGTGAAGAGCACCGCAGGTATGGGCCCGCAGGAGTGGGAGGGGACTCGTATAAGCAATATTTTTGGATGGGGAGGCGTGGACCGTAGAAGAAGGACCGCACCTGCGTGTGTGGAGCTGCAGATTCGGAATGGAGGGGCTTGGCGAAAAATTGCAGAAACAGTATTGGGGCCGCACCTGCGGAACCGCAGAAGCGGTCAAGTGACCGCAGGTGTGAAAAGGCTGGAGACAGTGACGTTTCTTTAAAATGGGGGTTTGGCTCATTTCAACCCCTTTTCCTCTATGGGAGCCGGTTTTGGAGCAACTTGGTAGTGTCATTTTCACCACCAAGCATGAGGTAAGTGGTTTATATTAGTTTGAGTTCAGTACATCGATTATGTATATGTTTTATCATGAAAATTAGTAGAAACTTGGGGTTTGATGGAAAAACCTAGAAAACTGATATTCTTGGATTTTGACCACGATTTTGGACATGAAATTGAGAGAAAATTATATATTTGAGTTTGTGAGGTTTTGGGCAAACTTTATCTTCGAAATTTTTTGAAATCTGGGCATGTGAGCCCGAGGGCGATTTTGTCAACTTCTCGATCGGGGTTAGAAATTGTTATAAATTGGATTATTATGAGTAATTGAGCATATATTAATGGGTTTGCATAATCATTGGCTAGTTTTGGAGTGTTGTGCATCGATTTGGGTCTTCGAAAGGGCGTGGAATGCCGGTCATAGATTTTCGGAGAGAGGTGAATCTCCTTTATAACCTTGTAAGAGGGAATTGTCCACATAGGTGAATTAATTGTATATGTGGTTCTATTTGTGGGGGCTACGTATGCACGAGGTGACGAGAGTCTGTACGTAGCTACTATTATGCTTAAGTCCGGGTAGTCTAGGACCCGAAAGCATGCTATACTTGAAATATTTGTAACCTTATTGATAATTTAAATTGCTTAAATCATGTCGAATTGATAAATGAATTTCAAAAGAAATTAAACATCATTTTTCTTGACCATTAAAGAGAAGTTGCCATTTCTTTGGGTAATTGTTTCCCTGATGAATTCTTGATTGACTATTTGATGAGTTTATTTATTTGACCGCATCGCACGTACGTGTCACGAACCCAGTTTGCCCTCCTTGAACTATCGTGACGACACCTAGTCTCTACGACAAGGTAAGCCTAACAATGTGGAAAAGGAACATTTTTGGAAAGAAAATAATTGAAAATCGAGCTAACAAAATGAAACAGTGTTTAAGATGCCTCCCGGCGTATAACAATACAAGAATCTCAACCTAGCACTCCCAAAATACGGAACCCCATGAATCACAAGCTAAAAGTTTACATAAAAAGCTCTAACTCCAGAAATGTCTATCAACAAGGAAAATACAGTAGGGCTATACTAGTACTGAGAATAGAAAGGGACTCTTCAGTCTGCGGATGCGGCAGATATACCTCGAAGTCTCTACAAAAGCGTCTCGCCTCAATGATGATAAGACTAAGTGGAAGTACCTAGATCTGCACATGAAAAACATGTGTAGAAAGGGCATGAGTACACCACAACGGTACTCAGTAAGTGCCAAGCCTAACCTCGGTAGGGAGTGATGAGGAAAGCCAGGGTCCTACAGAAATTAAATGAAATATAAGGTGTGATAGTATAGAATAAGGTAGAAAAATTAAGTGCAACAGTAAGAAATAACATAGAATAGAAAGAACAACAATGACTATAACAGAGACAAAATAATCACGGAAAGATTTACAGCTCAACACAGAGATAACATCCGGGGATCTCTCAGTATCCCGAAGATCTCTTAGTATCCTCAGTATGTGTTCCAGGGATCTCTCAGTATCCCGAGGATCTCTTAGTATCCTCAATATGTATGCTTGAGATCTCTTGGTA